CTAGTCCATGCATTTGTTCTCAAGGCTGGGATATTGTAACTCCTTATTATCAGGGTGACAAAGAAGTCAGTCAAGTCGCTTCAGCTTGATTCAAAATGCGCAGCTCGTTGTACTTACCAGAGTTAGGAAAAGGTACACGATTACTCCTGTTCTGGCTGCCTTACACTGGCTCTCCTATAGGACACAGGGATAGAATTTAAAAACTTCTTCTTCTCCTACAAGCCCCTTAATGGGCAGAGCGCCATCTTACCTTAAAGAACTCATTATACCCTACTTCCTCCCTCTTAGGGCATTTTCTGTTCCAGAATGCAGGGTTGTTGGTTGTTCCCTAGAGTCTTCTAAAAGTACAATGGGGCCAGAGCCTTTTCTTATCAAGGCGCACTTTTTGTGGAATCGCTCAGTTTGATGTTCGGCGGGCGCAGACACCCTTATGTCCGCTTTTTAAGAGTGCGTTCAGACATTCCTTCTTTGATAAGCTTATAGTTAGGGCTGATTAGATTCAGCCCCCTAGAGTTTTGCTGATATAGGCTTAGTTTGTCGGGAGACATCTTACTTCTTCCTTCTCTCTGTCTATACCTGTGTACTCTCATGTTCCGATTAACCCAGCTTCCCCAAATTTCTTTCTTTTTGGTGTCTATATACGCCGGGCTCCGGAGTCATGGATGATCCTGCGGTCCTGTGTCATGGATCGCGAGTCCTGGATCGCGAGTCGTGGCTGAGGTCCTGGATCATAAGTCCTGGATGGATATCCTCGTGGATTCATCTTCCTATTATACACACATGCATTTCCAAACATTTGGACTACCTATGGTGCAAATGTATTATCTTTTCAATTTACACACGGCATCTATTGCACGTTTGTCCGTCCTGGGAGAGGGATCCCTCCTCTGTTGCTCTCCCTGAGGTTTCTCCCATTTCTCCCTTTAAACTGTGGGTTTTCTCTGGAAGTTTTTCCTTGTACGATGTGAGGGTCTAAGGACAGAGGGTGTCGTATTGTCATACTGATATTCTGTACAAACTGTGAAGTCCACTGAGACAAATGTAACATTTGTGATATTGGGCTATATAAATAAACATTGATTGATTGATTGACAAATACCTTATTGATAAAATAAAATATTGGCCAACAGAATCAACCAAGACAATAAATGAAGTGCAATACTGTCTGAATCCTGACTAGACAGCTTGGTTTTTACTAACCGTTATCAGTATTTAGTTACTTCGGCATCATTTTGAAACGTGTATTACAATTTAATCACGGTAAAATAGGTTAATTTTGTCGTAGTTGGTTTCCACCACAGTATTTACATGGATATAAGCCCCGCCCCCTCTCCAGCGCGTCCTGTTTGAAAGACAGGAGTAAACACAGCTGACAGCCGCGGTGAAACTCCAGCGGTTAGGGTGAGAATATTCGCATTGCGTCCATTGTGAACGCAGCATAACGCAGTTCAGATACCACTGTTCTGACGCTTTTAAAGCAACTTCGAGATGTTAACAGTATCAGGGGCACGCAGGCCATGGAGACCGTAGGACGTACAATTATTTTCGGGGCTTCACGGCCAGACCGGCCGTCATGGTCACCGTGAAAATCCTACTCTGGTGCACTATCACGATAGATATGATATCTCATAAAAGGCATATTGTGGAGACCTAATATCGTCTCGACGATATATATCGTCATATCGCCCACCCCTAGTTTAGTTCAAAACGCAAGTGACCCAAACCCAAATGTGCCTATTTTTACTTTTATTTTGTAGTGTGGATTGAAATAACTAATCCTTTTGAGTGTCTATAGGCAAAAGTGTTTATAACCCAACTCTTAGGCAACCCAATTTAAGAATTAGCAAATGTGATTATTTTCTGGAAATTATGTAAAATGATGTGCTAATTTGGATGGAAAGTTGACTATAGAAAGGGGACATACACAGCCCTATATGAAGACTGTAAATAAAGAAGACACATTCTGCTCCATTTCAGGTTCAAATCAGTATTTTGGTTAGCTGGCCAGCTCTGTTGTGATTTGTCAACTGCTTAGAGATGTCCCGCCCCTTAGCCTATCACATACAATGAGTTGTAGCGCTAGCCAATAGAAGCGCAAGTGTTAGAACGTGATGTCATTATGTTCTGGAAGTTCTGGAAGCAGATCTTCCTTGAAAAAGAGATCTATGATATCAAGGGACAATCTGGATAAATAAAGGTTTGAAATGAAATGAAAAGGAGTCCAATGGAGGCGTTTCAGGCAGGGGGGATGAGGGGTGTTTAGCCTTTGCAGACCATTTACATGCACAACAACCTATAACACACTACAGGAAAGGGAAACCCCAAAAAGCAGAATAGGGCCTCTTTAGACAAACTGTTGGGACCTTGCCTGTTAACACAACAAGCTAATGTATGTTCAGTGTGTAGTACAGTGTTGGGTTTAAATAACCAATAAAGCCTTCTTCTCACCTGTGGTCCCGGAGGTGGTCCTGTCTTCTGAAGGCCTTGTGGCAGATGTCACAGGTGTACGGCCTCTCGTCCGTGTGCGTCCTCTCGTGGATCAGGAGGTTGTAGGATTTGGTAAAGTGGCGACCACAGAACTTGCACACAAACTCTTTCTTGGTCTTGGACGGCAGGCGGCCTCGGCTGGACTTGCGCTCGGGGGAGGAGAGCTTGGTCAGGTCCAGGTGAAGTCCGGCGGAAGTCTGGTGGAGAGATGAAGCCTGAGCGGCGCCCCCCCCCATGCTCAGGTCCTCCGCCTTCAGGGGGTCCTCCTGGGTGGCTGCGGCCGCCAGGTTGGCAAAGTCAAAGCGGGGTTTGTTCTTGGAGCTCTGAAACAGACCCGTTGAGTCGTGCTTGGGCTCCAGCAGGTGGGGGAACAGGGGGAAGGAGGCCATGGAGGAGAAGTGGGCGGGCAGCTTGGAGACTGTGCAGCGGGGCAGGGCGAGGTGGGGGTAGCCCAGGGTCCACTGGTGCAGCTGGATAGCGTGGAGGGCGCTGAAGCTGTAGAGGCTCTGGAAGTGTTCGGCCGGCAGCTGGAGGCCCGTGGAGCTCTGCAGGAGGGCGTAGTTGGCCAGCTGGAGCGACGGGTGCAGGGGGACCGGGGCTGGCAGGGTCTTGCTGCCCATGGCTGCTACCCAGAATCCAACAGAGCCTTCTGGAAGAAACACAAAACATTAGCAGAGAAAAATATGCAACTGTCGGGCCAAGTGACATCGATATATTTCTAGTGCTGTCAAAAGTCAATTCATTGAAGATGACCAGGAGTTTCTGCACACACACACAGATACACACGCACACGCACGCACACACACACACACACACACACACACACACACACACACACACACACACACACACACACACACACACACACGTAGATATGGTGTAACTACAAGAAACCAGATTAGTGTGACAGGCATCAGGCAGGAATTCAGATAACTCTTCCATACAGGCTTTTAAAACCACAATTCTCCCCTCAGAGGGGTCCTTACATTTTACAGAAACTTTGCTTGCACACTTAAAGTAAATAATATCCTACTTTTACATTTTTTTTGCTGCAATTTGGCCCTTCATAGTTTTTATTGGTCAGATAGTCTACAGATGTTTCTCTTTCTCAGTCAACTTGTATATATTTAACTTTGTAATTCAGTTTTATTTTCTATTTTGAGATGTTTCTATTTTATGTTTTTTCATTTTCTACTTTTTTTATTTTCAAATGATGTGCAATGTCAAAAAAAAATTGGGATCAATAAAGTATTATATTACCTCAAAATAATTGTTGGAAAGATTTGTGTTGAGTATGGAGCTGGGGTGTGTTTGTGAAGAAATACTCCTGGCATGTATCCCCTGTGAAACCCCAAACAATCATTTCTAGATTACTGCTTGTGTTGGTAGCCTATAAGGAAAGATGAGAATTCAACTGCTATTTTTTCTCAAAACACTTAAGGTCGTGGCTTGGACTGCAACTTGATTGAATCCATACAAAGACATGGCCCCGCCTCTGCTACTCACTACTGTAGCATGGTCAGTAGCTACTGCTACTGCTACTGACCATGCTACAGATGTTAGTGCAAAATCTACAGCTCCTCTACCACAACCATCAGCAACAAGTGGACATGGAGAATTACTTGAACTACATGTTGCTAAATCCACGCGGGGCATAAACAGAAGGGCAACCATGGCAACCATGCTGGGGGGGTCTTCTTTGCTGCTTTTGGTGTATTTTGTGGCAGAAATACAGCGCCACTTACAGGCCCGACATATGTACCACAGCGTCTCCAGAGCTTTCGAGCGGTCTCGTGTGAACGGAAACCTTTTTGATATCGTATTCGGTTCGTTGGCGTTTCGTATGCGTTTGCGTGTAAATGTGGTCTGAGTGGAATGTCTTTCTGGCATTGACACGCACACAGAGACACATTCAAGTCAGACAGAGAAATAGTAGTGTGTGTTTTTTTTGTATGTGATTGCGTTTGTTTTTGTATGTGTGCCTCTGCCTGCAAGTGTGAGTATGCCTCTGTTGTGTGTGTGGGTGTTAGAATGAGTCTGTGCATGCATGTGTGCTTCTGATATTGTTTTTGTGTGTGTGTGTGTGTGTGTGTGTGTGTGTGTGTGTGTGTGTGTGTGTGTGTGTGTGTGTGTGTGTGTGTGTGTGTGTGTGTGTGTGTGTGTGTGTGTGTGTGTGTGTGTGTGTGTGTGTGTGTGTGTGTGTGTGTGTGTTTCCAGTAGCAGAGGAGCTGTAAGAGCAGGTTTGATGAGCAGGATAACAATAGACAAAGTGTGTTTGTCTGAGGCTCACAGGTGACGGTGTGCTCACGCACGCACACACGCACGCACACACACACACACACACACACACCTCTCACCTCTCACAGACGCTGCATTCCTGCTCACCATCAGGGTTAAGTTTAACTTCAGAAAGAATGATGATACTTACATCGGGTTACTTTACAGTCCCATTCTCAACTACTGTATACTTTTACTCTAACACATCTGAGAGGGAGATTGTTAAATACAGTTTTTGGTGTTTGAAGATGTTTGAACACCACTTTCAAATATATATTAGAAAGGTAATTATGGCCTGTTTAACTCACACGAGCTCTAAGCAGTCATTCATAAAACTAATAATGCACAGATGTTTCTTTTTAAATCTAACCAGGTATTTAAATTTTAAATTGGGTATTAAAAAAAATTAAATTAAAACATTTTACTTTTATGTATCAAAA